AACCCTTCTTACTGAACCGTTTGAAAGCCGCAGGCGTTAAGTTCGTGCAAACTTCGTGGTACCAGCTTCTGCATTCGTCGCACTGCATGCCGCTTTCAACGGGATAACGACAACCCGGACGTTGGCAAATGCTTTTTTTACACTGTCCGGTCATTTAAAAGGAGTCCTTTTCAAAAAGGAACGAGATGCGATTATACTCAGAAACAAAAAAATAATCAATGACCAAAAAGTGAAGAACTGTAGATTGTTAGGACCAAAAGTACTAACAAATACAATTGAAAATGAGGTACTCAAGAGTACCAATGACAAAACTAATTAAGAGAACGGTAAAAACGGTACTCTAGTCGAATACTTTAACTGAAATGAATTCAATTAAAGTGAAAGCAGTAGTCTTGATACGTAATAAACGATCAAAACAATGAAATTTACTCAGCAACGAAAAATAACACTGTCCTTTTTAAATAGCGCGCGGTTGTTGCGACCCAGACTTTACTAAGCAACGCAAGAGATGAAGGAAATAAGCGTGATTGACTATCCAAAGAAAGGGTGTGCTAAATGCACTTTCGATCTGTAATTGAATACTGGTTTCTGTTTTTATACTAGTTCCTGGTAAACATGCGTCCTTAGATGTTCATACTTCCGAGCAAATCTGAATATAGTGCGTTATGAAAAGGGAAGCTCACATATCAGACCGTCTAGTCTTCACAAGCTGTTCCAAGCATTTGCGTTCATCAGGATTTCGGAACTACAGAAAATAATTTGTACAGCTAACACATACCTTCCTGAAAAATGCTCTTAAGACATGAAGTGAACAAAGTCTTATGTTAGAATGACTGTACGTAGACTGCACTGCTGAAATTTCAGTCGCTGCTGAATCCATAACGAGTGTGTGTATCATAAGTACCGCACATCCCAATAGTTTTTCGACATCTTCGCGTCGTTCTTGACTGCAGAGAGTATACATAACAGTGTGCCCTTGCCCAAGACTACCAATCACTACTAGCTGGAACAGTGGAAAACTTTAAGATAAATTTATTACTAATCGTTACTTACCCAACTTCGTTGGTCTGATAAGTCGAATCAATACATATTACCTCCGGGAACGCTATTTGATCCCTGCGGCTGAAGCAAGTCATAGATATGTTCCCATTTTCATTGTATACTTTTACTTCAGTGTTCGCTTGAACACGCTGTAAGATGCCATTGATATTTTTAGTGTCTAAACTCAATTAATTACAATGTGAGTTCAACAACCTGGGTGTAACTGTGAACGCATTTTGGCGATATCGTCCTTGGTAAGCTGTTTATGGAACTTCCAAGAAACCATATGCCGTAAGCTACGAGTTGGTGTATTACTCAGTAGAAACGTTCTTATATATAAGCGTTCATTTGACGTCAACTGTCGACTCGATGGATCGACAGAAATATATCCTTTTGTGCAAGGATGGTTGTGCACTGTTTTAACAGAGGTGACTTTCAGCTCACCATTTACTGCCCGGACCCAAAATCCAGATTGACAACGACAATATTTCGACCTGAAGGATAAATTCATTTGAAACAAGGCATACGTAGATGACCGACGTCGTCTAGGTTGTGTTGGCGAGTTATAAGTTGTACATTCTTCAGGAGAATGATGATTACTATCATCGTCTACATCCTGAACGCAAGCATCTGACTCTGACGAACTGTGTTTACGTCCATATATACAGACGTATCTCACGAAAAATTGCTTTGAAGTTGGGTCATCACTGTTCGTTTTGCATACTGACATAACATAACTAGTATGCGTATACTAAAAAAATAATTATTAACCACAGAAGTCATATTACCTTATGTACTTCTTTCAAACAGGTCTCCAAATTATCCCAGCTTGTAAATCTTCGAGATAACATAATATCATTGAAGATTGATCCTATATCATGCATCATCACGATGGCATCGTCTTCGTTACTTGAAGAATGAACGTTATCAGACATGGTGTGGCTGAACTCAATTCAAATCTAGAAATGTCTTGATTTGACCGCTTCGGAAAATTTTCACGAATTGTTGATGTGACGCACCAATCATCTTGCGACAGTTTGACCTTCAAGTGCTCGCAACCTCCAACAGTGAACGATATCCCTGAAGCGTTGCTCGCACTGTGTGTTAGTTGTGTTGTTGGGAGAACTATGGGTCTCCTAATGTTCCTCAAAGTTTCTAGGCTGATTAGGGTAATATCAGAAGCTGTAACAAGCTGAAAGTGAGTACGGTGTTTATTAATACCAAAGATTACGTACCTTCTTTGGCGGCGATTCCGTGCGTGATTATGTGATACCAATACTCTTTTGTTAATGCGCCAAACTTGTATTTCTTGAAGCAGGGTTTTGCAGAATACCGTTTATGCTTTCTTTTTCTACAGCTGGTTTCTGTATGCCCCTTCCGATGACAATTACTGCAACAATGTTCTTTACACGGGTAGCTCTTATAGTGCCAACCTCCAAATGACCAGCATGGACATGATGGTTTGTCGCTATCACTACGATAATTATGCGTGCTGGAACCTTGCGGGACCTTTCTCTGGACTGCATTAATGTAAGAGAAATGGGTACCGTTCTCTACCATAGAGGTATCATGCTTCAAGTTCACTAACCCTTCGGTAGTTACTACACGCAGCATCATATCGAGGCATTGTTCAAGCTTGCTTAGGATTATTGTTCGGATGTCAGCATTTTCGGGTGAACGCAGGCTACAGACAAATACTAGGGATTTAAACTGGTCTTCAATCATGGAAGACAACTTGGACCTCTCACACTCTCGGTTCAGAATTCCTGCATGTTTCACCCAGTCATCTAGTTCTTTCGTTATCTTCAAGCATTGGTAACGGATATTAAATAGAGATGACTGTTCTCCAAAGATTTGAGACAGGGTTTTAACTGTTTCATCAAAACTAAAGTCTCGTGGGTTCTTCGGGAGAATGAAGTTACTGTAGCGTTCATGTTCCATCGTCCCAAGTTTTCTTAGAAGTATTTTGACTTTTGAGGCGTCATCAACTCTTCAGAGATCAACATAGAACGAATCTTCATATTTCCCAAACCAAGAATCAAAAGTTACACCTGCTGCACCGTCAAAATTAAATTTATGAATGGCATTAATGTCTGAACCAGTATGAGATAATTCTGGTTCACCAAAAGCAGGGTTTTGCTGGGACAGGCAATCAATCAGTCAGTAACAACGTAGAATTTCGTACGTACGCAAATCAGTTCGAGTTGCCACACCACATTAGCACACAGATGCAGTGGTCGATTCAAATCCCGTAGTGATAGATGTAATAAGAGTATAAGCAGTAATCGGGAAAATTAGTGTTTGGAGATGTTATTTAAAGAGTATAATACAATGAAATAAATTTGGGAAGAGAAAAACAAGAGACAAGGAGGAATAAGGAGGGACAGGCACAATTTCTGCATCAAGGCTACCATGATTCTGATTTGGTACTGTTCAAATCTCTTCTCTTGACGCTCCATATAGGCTTCTAGTTGCTCCAAAGAAATATTCATTGTAGTTCTCCCGTCGCCACTGATAAGTTTTGGTAATTTGAAGGCTTTATTCGGTTCCTACGCAGCGACCTGGACTGGAGAGAAAAGGCGAAAAGCACTTTACTCCAAACGTTCACTTTTTTCAGAAAAACGTGCATTTATAGATGTTAACATTTGTTAAATCAACATCATATTTTGGGCAATCCGCTAAAAGACATATTATGCTACTGACCAATAGTATCAGGTCACGTTGATATTCTAGAGAGCTCCATCATGCTCTGATTAGTTATGACTCTTCGGCTCCTTCAAGGCCTCTGGAGGCTCCGTTGCAGTTCTCGGAAAGCCGACTCAATAGGGAGACGCATGTTTGAAGTAATTTTCCAGAAAACAGTCGAGTGGTAAACCCATAGAGACTATAGCAGTTTGTCCGTATGTCATTGTCAAATGTAAATTCAACACTGAAGATACCTTCCACGAGTAATTCCTTTAAATAATGTTTTATGCTCTAACTTTCTCCGTTAATTATCACTCGAAAAAATTGTCAATCCGAATATCGAAATACATAACCTTGTTCTTGTGTCACGTCGAAACAGCACTAGCAACCTGTTGTCAACTCTGAATCCATATTGGTCCTTCTCGCCTTTCCCTGTCCTTTGAGTACAGAACATAATCTCAGCCTTGACCATATGAATAATATACTTCAAACATATGTAGTTTATATACAAGCGAACCAAACGGCATCACACCATATAATTTAAAAAAAAACGATTACACACGATCAAGCCAAAAGTAGTTGAGTGTGAGAGACTGTAACTGGTACATTAAGAATTGTAAATCTTATAATAATAGCCAATAGATCAATTGAAAGCTTATGATAAGAAATATAAATATATAATCTAGCCACTTAACAGTTATACAATAAGAATATATACACATAATAACAGTCTATAAATAATTCTCGGAAGTTACACATAATTTAATATTCGAATACAACATTTCTGAAGACCAATATCGAGGTCCACATCATACTGTTATGAAAGGTCTTCTAGAGTAGATGGATTAATTAATATCATGCTATTTAGCAAATTTCGAAAGTTGCTGAGACAAAATTCTATGGTGATACTTCCAATAAATGAGTCACACAAGTATTAGTACTATGCGTATGATTACAGAAAGCGTGAATTCTTGTCATACAAATTTCACTGTAGGTTGCAAGTTAACTTTCCGCTTGCTTGATGCTTTGGTCACAGTACCAGTACTGCGTTATTCTCTCAAATTAACTCAATCGTTAATTTTATTAACGAAAGTTCAGTAATAAGAGGTCTAAAAGCCAATCTGTCGTCATAATGTAAGTAGAGATTACAGTTATATAGCTTCAGACGTCAAATTTTTCAACAATTAGAATGTAAATTTTAGCTCATATTCATAGGCTATTAAGTACTGACGAATAAGTTCATAGATATGATAAATAACCAAGAGAGTTTATACTGTTAGTTGATTGTATTTAGAAGGATTTCGAAGACAGACTGATTTACTCAGCCTATTACACAAAGTTATTTAAAGAAAATTAACTTAAATAAATATAACAAGTAATCTTTTGGTAAGTGAATTTGATTAACACTGGAGAGTTTATGATTCAGCTTCATTTTAATTGTTTAAAAGAAACGAACACAAGAATTGAATAATAAGCAGCAAAATGGCAATCCATGCAGTTAAATGCAAAAATTCGTAGACCAATTAGTTTTTTTCTGCATACTACTTATGATTAAGTTGTAGTAAGTCTTAGATATAATCCTCTTATGAGTACCCATCTCAAAAGTCCAGAATAAGTATAGATGCTTTTGCCAGTAATTCTACAAATATGGATAAAGTGTTGGAAGTTTTAAAAACACTTTTCGTGCTAGTTGACACTCGTTAGATTGCCTGTAACCTTGAAGGAACTGGTACTTTTCATGAGATTTAAAACTTATTACTGAATTATACAGGCTGCGATTGATCCACCTGGGGAATACAAGTAAAAACCTTTAATTTGTAATTAAATTAAGCTTTACTCGAAAAACAGAATGGTAAACAGGAACAATTCGGTATTTAAACATTATCAAAAGAAATAACGAAGAGATAGACAAGAAGAAAAGTGAAAGCATTGAAAATGACAACGAAAAACAGGATGAAAATTCGTATTGTTGGTAGTGTCATAAAACAAAAAACAAATGAATCATGTATGAAAACAAAACACACTATGTACGGCAAGTAAAACAAGTAGAAATGGACACGATAAATACTAAAACAAACCCACTGAAATACACTCAACTGTGGCTACTTCCAAATTTGTGTTAACAGAAATAAAAGCTATGTAAAAAAGAATACTATCATATCAAAAAGGAAACTGAGCGTTAAAAAAGAGTAAGTTTTATAGATTGACAAGAAATATAAATGACACTAACAATGACAAATCAAAATGGTACTCACTCTCTCTCTCTCTCTCTCTCTCTCTCTCTATATATATATATATATATATATATATATATATATATATATATATATATATATATAATGAATATCAGAAACATAGCATGTGGTTCTTAATAATTCCTCTTCCTTATAAGTAAATTTTATTCATAAACATAAATCTAAGCAGTAACAACATCAAATAAATACTTAGTAATGTAAGCGTAATGAATAAACCACAATGAAATAATAGATTAAGGTACGACAATCTGTTGTTATGAAAAAGTGGACCAGTATGAAGAAATAGACTGTAACAAGGATGACGATAATAGCGACAAAAGTTGTAATAAAAGAGTATTAGTAATCAGTAATTTGAAAACAAAGTCGAAAGAAAGAACTGTTGAGAAAAAGTGTGTTCCTATTGATTATGACCGAATCGTTTTAATAGTCATCATCATCTTCATCTGATTACGCTACTATTTTTGGTAAGAAAAGTGTTGAGAATATGTCATAAGTTAGGATGCAGCAGAAAGGGCAGAAAATTTAGCAACTAGATTTCGTGTAATACCCGGAGTTGGAAATTCACTTGTTTTACCATTTGTGCTATGATACTGACCAATTTTCGCGCTTTCAGTAGACTCCGAGGAACTGCTAAAAGGAAAGAAAAGTTTTTTTTTGAAAAACAAGAAAAATACATGAAGTACATAACTTACCTGTGTTTTCTTAAACCTATAATTGCTGGTGTGTGGTGATAAAAATATACGAGAAGGGTTTTTCATGGGGATGGAAGAACTAATATGAGGTGAGATGACATTCAGCATTTCCGTTTGGTAAGATGAGATTCGACATTTTTAATATCGACCATTTATAACCCTTTTCTTCCATTGTGAAAAGGCGGCATCGTTGCAGATGTAGGATGTCTGGGGGAAAATTCTTACTGTTATCACAAACCTCTACACTCAACAGTACGATTTTACCCTCTGACCTAAAGTAACGGTAAATGATATCAATGACTCACTAGGCTAATATTGTACAACCTGTGGTTAAAATAATGACTTTGAAATGTGACATTTTGAAAATGTCAATACAAGCAAAAATACGTAACAAGTTTATGTATTTGGCTGAGACAGACTACTAGTGCAACAGCTACTGTGATAACATCCAAGATCTCAAACTGAAATAGATTGAACCGAAATCAAATTTTTAAACTATTAGTTGAATGCAAAGTGATTTAACTATTAACAATCCACAAAAAGATTTAGTGTGAGAAGAAAGACAGGTGTTATACTGAATAACTTGAATTTCATATATATATATATATATATATCAACACTAGCGTACGATACCACTCAACAGAGAATACAGATTACCACATAGTTTACACCAAAATTCGTACTGTTAACATCAACATTGGAAGAGAGTTTAGAGACTGGTTACAAATTTGGTTTTGGTTTTAGGATATTTTAAACCGGGATTCTATCACAAAGAAAATTACACAAGAATTTAATGGGCGAGAATTGGCACAAAATGTATTTAGCTATCACTATCTATGAAGGTTCACAAAATTCCAGATTTGTTAGTCTTTTCTAAATTAAGCTCGACAAATTTCCATTATAACTATTTAAATAGTATCATTACATGATGAGAATGACGAAAAATCTTTCTTAACTTATAACACAAATCAAGCACATATAACCTTCCCATATTATATAACGTTAACAGCGATTCGTCGTAACCCTAACATGGGAAAACCTCTATGATTTATGGTTACTATTTTCCTTGTGTCCAAGCCGATAATTGACATGGACTGAAACTACAGTAGGCTGGGAAGTGTTTGGCATTATCTAACGACACAGTGGAGATTTTTGCACACAAAGTTCACAGTTATCACGTCTTATCATCAAGTAGTGGCTACTATGATTTTTGTACACACGTCTGTCTAGCAGAATAATTTGACCAAAATAATGACTACGGCACTTTTACGTATGAGGGCTGGTTAAATGATATGAGACTATTTATTTGGATGACTTGGCAAACACATAGCTAATTTCTCGATGATAAACGTTCGTCTGGAATTTTGTGAGTTTCTGTACACAAAACGATACGGATTAATGGAGCTCCATAGTTGTACAAAAAGATGGAGCACAATAAATGAAAACGGTCCCACACACTATAAATATACCACGTTATTTAAACAACGAACTGTCTGATAGGACTGGTCGGATAGTGTCGCGTTATACCATGAAGTGAACTAAAGGTAATGTTTATCGTTTGTGAAATTTCAGTGTTCAGAGTTCGACCACCACGTGCTTTTGTACAACCGAGAAATCCTAAACTACAACAGACCAACTATCCGGAGCTTCTTGGTTTTAAATAATTCATCATCCAATATAAAAAATTCATAACGAGAACTAAATTCAATCAATTTTCGCAAAGCTGTCAATCAAATAAAATGTCTCAAATCAAAGATTTTTTTGAAAAAAAATCACCAATTAGTTTCATTCATTCTTAAACTAAAATTCAACTTACTAAGCTTCATCTTCAGGTTTATGACTGAAATTTTGTTTTAATTCACTGACTAATTGTTTTGGTTTTTGTTCGACAGGTTTTCTAGTTAATGGTTTGGCTAGAATAAGTAAATATGAAAACTTACAATTTTAACTGTTTTGCATAGAATTTCTTAATTCATGATAACGATAGCTTTAAATATAGTATGCACATAGTATGACGAAAATGAAACAGCATGTAAACATGTGAATCGATGTAGATTACCAGATGCACACCGTAAATTACTTATAATATTCTGATTATCTAGTTGGGTAATATGAACTTTATTTCGTGAATTTGTCAACTAGAAGTCAAATAACCATCAACTGTTCAATTAAAAATTTCAGTTCTATGCGAATAATCAAGATTCGAACTAGGAAATTGTTTCCGTACAGTGAACCAAACAGAGAAATAAACAAATGATGAGTGGTAGTGGTTGGTTGAGAAATAGCTTTAATTTACACAAGGTTAGACCCAAACAGATGATCGTCCTAATTTCCTAAGGATGTTATGTATATATAAACTTAGCTCTCCATTTAACGTGTAAATAAATCCCCTTGAAACCCCTAAACTTGACATCAAAACCTCTTTTTCACAACAACTCATGAACTACTTACAAGTAGTTAAGTTTAAAATGTTTTATTAATGTGTTGTACGATTTTAAGAGGAATGCATTTCGGTTGACTTGAACATTTACTTTTTTGTAACAATTAGGAAATTTTTTGCAATTATTTATGGCACATATCAAACGAGGTGTGGTACGGTCATCTCAGTTACGTTTATTTGTTTCGCATATACAGATTGTATTTCACTCCCAATTATATTCAATAGTTACAGAACAAAAGTAGTAGAAATATATAAACATACATACCAAAGAAGATGGTATAACTTACGTTCCACAGGAATGAATTTCCGTTGGTTTGAAACATGAGGTTTTCCGTTTACTTCAAACGCAACTCGACCAACAGTCTAAATTTAAGGAAGACTTTTATTTAACTATCTTCGAGTATGAAATAAAGTCAATATTGATTTTTCACCATTTAAGTTAAGGAAGAGGGCTTTATATGAAATCTCGAATAACAAGCATCAAGCTAACGAAATGTAGAACCTAGTGATAAGAACAGTCAGACATCACGTCAAAAAAATCACTCAGAGTCCTAGTTATCAAGAATCCTAAGATTTATGAAGTAAAATTTGACTGATTGTCACCGTCAGTCGACAAAGACTGGATATCTGATAAATCTGCTACCGGAACGCTTATTACTTAATTCCTGGCCGCTTCCTAAAGGAACAGCGCTGAACGTAAAAACTTTATTCCGAGGTCAGTTTGACCTTGATATTCCAGGACCTTCTAGAAACACATTGAACACAGTATCTGAATGGGTAATTATTCAATCAAAAAGTGACAAGTGATCGCTCATTTCTTAAATGTTCTTGAGTGGCCTCTATTCAGTGCCTACTGGATAAAATATTTCCTAGGGTTTTATGAATTTATAGTGACTATGGAAAAAGATATTATTGATGACTAGTTTTATTTTCTTCAGTGTGTTTCTTACCCAACCTTTTCCGCTTTTTATCTTTCTGTTGCCCTTCGAAGTTTTCATCTTGTATGTGTCCGTAAGTATATTCAGTGGAATATTTTCCTGAACAATTTCCATTGTCTTTTAGAAAAATCTAGTTACCACAATCAAGTGAAGGACTTCTAGGACAAAGAGTAGACACATCAAGCTATAAATCACAGAATCTAATTGGAGTTACTGATATTAAGAATTTTCGTCGACTTGTGATATGATGTGACTTATCTACCGGTGGTACATTGTATTCTTCCAATACTGCACATTACCCAACCCTATCTATAAATAAAATATTTATTGAACTGACAATTCATTTATGAAATATTTTATAATAAACTACTTTGGTCTGCACTATTATGTGCACCCAGCTACTTCATTATTTCCAAATACAATTTTGGCTGACAAAAGAACAGTTTGGAAGAATAAACCAAAAAACCATTGGCAAACAGTCTAGACGTGTGGGAAGGTGTATATTTGCTGGTTATGGTCGACGTAATAGTAGTAACCTATAACTGGAAGGTTTGGGTGAAAACCCCCTCCCCAAATTGGTTTCAATGGCCAGATACATCCATTATCCATACATAACATATGTTGGTTTTAAGAGATATTATTCGTTAAACCTTTACTATGGTTAGTAATACTATTGTTTGAACTACTTTTACTTTATTCTTTTTAATTACCTACCATAAAACCTGATAAACTGGACCAACCACAGCTATATTGCCTGGAACCATTTTTCCCTTAGGTCCTATCATGTCAGGCTGGCTAAGGAACGGTAAGGCTGAAAGCATCAAGCCCATGGTCCGAGGATGAAACCATACTGTTAAGCGCAATGAGGTGTGAAAGTGGTTACTCGTTTCCTCCAGACATCCAACATCTGCAACGATGCCGCCTTTCACAATGGAAGAAAAGGGTTATAAATGGTCGATATTAAAAATGTCGAATTTCATCTTACCAAACGGATTTTCGTCTCCAGGTACAAGGCCTCTTGAAGTGAGGAGCTAACATCGAAAACTTCCCATAAAAGGTTGTGTGCGGCCGGCCTCAAGCAGTTACCTCTTTGACTGTACGATCTTTAAGACCATAATTGAGTTTATTTTTCTGGTCCATCAAAAAGAAATTTCATTCATTGGTGGATGCAGGTATAAGGGAGCCGGGAAGAGAAAATGGTATTTATACTTTTAACAGCAATAGGGTTCCACTTGTTCACGATCGAATCCCTTCATCACTTCTTGACTAAATTCATGTTGTCACCTTATAATAAATCGAACCGACTACTGGATGGACACGAACATTTGAAAATTATCTAAAAGTGACTAATGGTATTTTTCTATTACCATCCTTATACTCCTACTTTTCTTGTCAGCTATTAATTAGTCCAAATACACAAAAAAGTGCTCACAACAGTTCTTTTATCCATTCTTACATATTTATGCATTTCAAGTCTAAGTCATTGTCAGGTGATTGATCCAAGTCCTGTGAGTTTTTAAATACAATTGTAATTTACATAATATTCTGTGCTAACACAGAAATGGATGGATAATTCAAGGCAAATTACAATTCCTTTCAATGATTAAAATAAAGTGAAATCAGAAAAAGGCAAACTTCTTAAAGAACTAAAGTCAATCATAGGTATCTCTTTACGGTTTACTTTATATCTCAAATCATGCACCACATCACATTTTTTATAGATTACAAAAAGTTCATAAACCTGATAAACCATTAAGACTTAGTAGATTACACAAACACTCCAACATATACTCCAACTAAATATCTAAGCAGTATACTGAGACCACTTCACAGGAACTAATACAATATCATTAAAAATTCTAATGATTTCAGATAGAAAATTTCGGATCTGTCTGTCAAAAAAAAATGAAAACTGTAAGTTATGATACATAGTTATGTACTAGTATTCTTATTGATAAATGCGTAGATTTTATTAATCGTTTACTAGAGAATCATGATATTAATCTACTTAGCAGATCTCCACTAATCATTAGCTTAATAATGAGAGCCCTTCAATTCTGAATTTGACCTTATTTACGTCCAAAGAAACTATGTATAGAAAAATAAAAGAGGCTCCAGAAAATCATCTGTATCACAGGTTGTCGCCTTTTTATATAGTACATCAGTTCTATATAAAATCGCATATTTTTCCATGTGCTATCAGAATTATGCGTTTGGCTCAGATATGAAGATGACACTTTCATCACCACGGAAATTACTCTCTTGAGGGACTTTTATAAAGTGAGAAGTAATTTTTCAGCTCACATAAAATTCGCCTTCTAAAATGAACCCAGTAAACTACTAACATTAGACTGTTTAGTCAAAAGAAATTCAAATGGATGTCTCAGTCAACTCATCTACCATAAGCACACACAAACTCAAATCGAAATATTGATTTCAAATCGGCACATCCACTCAGTACAAAAATGTTCTCGGTTCCAAACTTAGACGAGTGTCAAACACAATGACATCAGATGAAGAGAAACAAAATGAACATAAAAATATAATTAACATCTTACGGTTTGAGAACTTTTTCATGAATATTATTAAAACTACACCACAAAGAAATATTATTTTGTCAATTATTAAATAAAGTGAATAAACTAAAATGGATTATTACACTGTAGTTCTACCATACCGTCATGACACAACAGAAAAGCTGCAATGAATCCTTAGATGACACAGAATTCAAACATTCCATAAAATAATGAACACCCTTAGAAATGCTATGGTTAAAATAGAAGATAAAATTTCTATTACTTCGACACAATTGTGTCTATTGACTAGGATGTATAGATTGTGATGCATTCTAAATAGGAGTTTTCTCGCGAAATCATTACTCGGTTCAAAGAACATCTAAGCTATAATAAATAACCTCAAAATAATCTTGTATGTTTAGAAAATTGATAAACCAATCAGTACTTAGTTTTTTTTAACAACCATCAAGTCAATAATAATAATATCTAAAGAATTTCCCAATTATAAAGAAAGGCGAGTAGCTGAAGCTTTTCAGATTTTGCTAAATCCTACCGCACTGAACAGCAAGGAAGACCTAAAGATTCATCCACCATGGATCACTTCGCAAATATTTCTAGAATTAACATCTCACACCACTGACAAATAGATGAGTATTCATAATCTTACTGTTCAGCATTACAGATGCACTATTTTTACACCCATACGCAATTATACACAGCAATATCTCACATAAGAAAAATCATCTTGACCGAAATGACATGACATTAACATGATCAAACCGATTTTAATGTGGATTGTACCAAAATAATTCTGTTTTGTGTCCTTTGTACTAATTAAACCTGTGTTAATTCGATTCGTTTATTTGTTTTTATTCTCTGAACAACTGGCTCACACTACATTGCAAAACGTCAGAAATGTAATTTACTACTAATTAGGACTTTAAAAATATATCATTTCTGTCACTAATCTCTTCAATCGTTACAATACACATGAAATGAGGAATAATGTAAGAGATGGAAATTCGACATTTAATGTCGATATAAAATTAAACCTAGACCACCATGGAAAACCTGGAAGCACTAGACAGCCGTTTCATCCTAGTATGGAACTCTTCAAAAGTGCGCATCCACGATCCCGCAGTTACTCATTGAAGACAATGGTGAACGGTGGGGCAACATTGTGGAATGGTTGAGGTGGAACATTAACACCATTGGTTGCCGGTTCAGTGGTCTGGAGGTTAAGCGTTTGAGCGCGAGACCGAAGGTCCTGGGTTTGAGCCCCGTGTGTGGGATTGCACTGTTGAAGAGTCCCATACTAGAACGAAACGGCCGTCCAGTGTTTTCAGGTTTTTCATGCTGGTCTGGGTTTAATCAGCTCATGAATTAAACTATTAAATTACTATAATATCTACAAACCCCACTGACAAAATTAAAAGCTCACAATGGTAAACAGTTTCAAGTATGATGGCAATGTATTTTCGACGGCTCTCAGCACTTTGAATACTAACAAATAGATTAAATAACCCAAAAAGTTGACATCAGAGATTAAAATTTTCATATGAGTTTGTTGTCAAAATGAAAATAAGAAACAAGTAACGAAAGAAGCGAAACATCCTGAGGGAAAATCTATAACATACAAACGCACACATACAAACAAAAGTGACCATTATACCTCATCTTAATTGAAAGAGTAGAGACTATGGTTATTTGGATTACTCAATACCTATAAATAAACAGTATTGGTAATAAGAATAAAGACAGAATGGGTCTTTTTTGGCGAAAATTCGAGTTTACCTGGTGATTTTCCAGAGGCATTTTATTCCAACGTTCTACTAATTGACGAGCACTTCCTGACGATGGAAAAACATCACCATTTGCACTGGTTGGTCCTGTATGAGTGGAGTTAAAATAGATTCTACGTGGTGGCTACATGATTAACACATGTCCACATACATTTGAAAGTGACCACAAATAAGAGTATTGAAAAAAAAGCAAGAATATAAAGAATTTAAAAAAATTATCATCAGTGATAAAAAGTAAAACCCGCTGATTCATACAATATTCTCCACATTAACAAAAGTGTGATTTTGTCCACCTAATTTCTTTAAATGACATATGAATATACTTACATATATTTACTGAAGGAGAGAAGAGTTGTTCCTTCTTGAATATATTCATTTATCAGGTACAAATTCATGCATTTGGATTCAATCCATGTCCTAAGTTTTAGGTCTGCCGATGCTAATTAGTTGCCCAAAATCAAATGGATAGATTCAGATCTCAGATTTTAGTGGCTGAAAATTGAACACCTTACGCACCGGGCTATCACTCTTAAATATGAACTTAAATATAAACTTTATTGAATGACAAATGAGTCTGTTGAATACATACATAATATTTTTACGATGAATTGAACGATACGGAAAAAAATGAAATAAGTAAACGTCACAATAACAGTTCAATGATAGTCATGAAAAATTGTTAGAGTAATAATAATAATAATAATAATAATAATAATAATAATAGCTGATTACGGTTTAAATAATACAAAAGAATAAAAAAACCAAGATATATTGGAGAGGGTAATTCGGGTCAAAGAAGAATGAGAAGTTAAACGTATCGTTTTTGGACTCGGCATTCGGTCATGGCTGGGTGAATTGTCAACGCTTCATCAGTGAACGGCTTGTAAAAGGGGAGTGCAAAGCTGTCACTAGACTAATACAGGAGCACCTGGACACGTTTCAGAGGAGTTGTCTTTTAAAGCAATCTATATGGTTGAAAGAATCTGATCAAAGCGAGATCCAACTAAAATACTTGCGCACTGCTTAGGCATTGACATCTCACCGACGCAAGACCGAATGCTGAGTTCAAAAACGACACGTTTAACTTCTCATTCTTCTTTGACCCGAATTACCCTCTCCAATATATCTTGGTTTTTTTATTCTTTTGTATTATTTAAACCGTAATCAGCTATTATTATTATTATTATTATTATTATTATTATTATTATTACTCTAACAATTTTTCATGACTATCATTGAACTGTTATTGTGACCTTTACGTTTTCCATTTTTCTTCATTTAGTTCAAGTCGATAATGACCTCTGGATATTTCTGACCCGTAAATTAGTCTTCACCTCCTCTACTTGTCTCGAACCCAATGATCGTAACACAATCTCCTATTGATATTTGAAATCTTGGATCACTTAATGGTGCAACCCCTGCTTTCCTTCTATAGACGTATATTTATCAAACAACTATAAATACTAATGTAAAGCTTAAGTAAGGAATTTCGTGGAAAAGAGAATTTTCTTCGCTGAATTCTCTTTACTTTCATTCATCAGTTAGGTCAAGAAACTATTTCCAATATTAGTTTTACACACTCCTCCTGACCACCTATCTCACCCTCACCCATCTTTAACATGTGACAAATAGTATGGTTATAATCAGATCATAAAACTAAGAGCCTGCAAAGTATTTTACAGTTTTCTTTAAAAACAAACATATTAATTGACTGTGTAATTATGTGAACAAAATGTATTCTGTTTAGTAAGTAGGTATAACATAATCTAACGTTTGAACTACGTTCAATTTATTTTATAAGAAAGAATCATTTTTTATATTACTAGTAGCATCCAGTTAAAAGATGTTCAAATAAACGATAAATTTCTGATAATCACATCTTAGTGGAAACTCAATGTATTTTTAAAACCACCTGCAAGCAGTCATACTCAGGGAGTCCGGAGTGGTGATTTTATGTACACTTCTACAGAAAATCAGGGAGCATAGTTTAGGACTGCTTAGCAATGCACACTCACGAACCTATGGGGGATCAAACGCAGGATTATAAGACTTGTTAGCGGGATACAGATTGGATTAAAACGTGTTCCGTGCAGGATAATTTTGGGGCACACTGGTTGGCTATTTCCTAACCAATCAGAGCTAGCAAGTACTTGGAAAAGAGTCTAGAATCTTCTTGTGTGAAATTTTAAATATAGCAACGTTTTCCTTATCCTGATTCCTACTTCCATTCAACATTGTTTATATAGAGTATAATTACGTTCCTGTCCAACCGTGTTTTGATATGGGGGCAATAAGAGCAGCTGGGTCGTAATAAGAGAGATCATAACAAGACTACTGAGCTTGAATCCAATAACTGGCATTTACAATTTTAGAAATCTTTAAATGTACGATCATATTAATACAAACGAGTCATTAAATAATTCGGTCTAATCATGAATGTATAATTTTAATAAATGAGGCAAATTCACTTGATTCTGTGGTAGAGAATTTTGTATACTAGTTGTATTGTTTCCAGATTCTAATTCTTGAAATTTGGCTACTAATGTCTGAGTTACATTTGGTGTTGACCGTTCTATCTTCGAAACTTCCTGTCGAACTGCAAAACAATAAACGAGATTAAATTAAATGAGGGAAGAATTGGAAAGAAATGACAACTAACGGGAATATTATAGTATGAAAGATATTAAGCACAACAATAAAAAGCAAAGAAATGATTACATTAATAAAAAAAATGAAGGCGGAATAAATCAGTGAGATTGGTTGAGTGAATTGGGGGGAGTTGTGAAATGTAATGAAGAAAGATTTCGTCATACACACTGATATCACATTAAACTGATCTCCACATTCCATTTTTTTACATAACAATCAAATGATCACTAATAACTAACTTCGACATGGATTACTGAAGTTCTAATGATAATGAATAATCATATCGAGTAGGGAACACTCATCAATGATTACACTAGATGAAGACCACGTGAATTAATTAAGAAATATGAAAAACTGGTTCGCAACTTTGTACTCTTAAGTTAGTGGTCTATAGGTTATGGGTTCGATATCTGGTAAGGTCATAGGTGGTCACTATTGAGACCACAACTAAGACGAAATAACTGTTATTAGTGCTCACTGGTTTTCAATATTTCCTCAGTTAATGTTGATGTGTGATGGACACTCTTCCCATGCATACATAAGTAAATCATTTAGACACGACAAGTTGTACAAAATGAAGAAAAGAAAATGGAATTGTTTGTAAATACGAATGAGAAGAAACGAAAGTCACTCTTTTTCGGTAAGAAGGCAAAATGATAATACAAAGTGAGAAAAATTCGTGTAGTAAAACAAAAATGTAAATATGTTTTGAATTAAATTTCGAATAACAAAATATTACAGTAATTAATTAACTTAAGCCTGATCATCAACTTACACATTTTAGATGACAGATGATGTCAATTGTAGGAATAATATGAACTTATTCACAATACCTGCCTTAATGAATTTTTCCGACTCTATATGAAATCAATTAAAACTTTGACTGTTCGATAAACGAGTTGCCTTATCAATAAAGCATAGTGTTTCGGATTTTTTATTCAACAGTATAAATAGGAAAAATATCTACAGTCATTTGACATGAAAATCATATGGATTGGATAGGTAAAATGTTAACAGTTAAGAAACACATTTGAATAATGTCCAATAGCCAGAAAACATTATGAAAACATGCTTTTATGGTATACTTTTATCATGTCAAAAAGAATTTGAGAAAGACTGAGCTTCCAGAAGTATTAGTTATTTTTATTGTATTCTAATACTATCGTAGTTGTTAGCGTTTGTTTGACAAATAATCCGTTGTAATATCTCTTACTGTTTCAGAATTTTTTTCTTTATTAATTATTTACGTATTGTTTCGTCTTTGCACCGATTATGACTGAATATTGTGCGTACATAGTAATTTCTCATTTGTGTTGTTGTGTGGTCAGGTTACCTGAGATATATTATTTTATGAGTTTTGAGTTGTGAATGTACAGAGTACAATAGTGAATTAATGCGTTCGGTTATACACATCTGATTGGAAATCCGTGTACCAACAAGCATTAAAATTCTTCTATGATTATTCAGAGCCACTGAGAGACTAGAAATAAAGGTCACTGGTCCTACAGGTAAAATAGGAAAAATAAACTAATAACCAGACTAGATAATACAACTGCTCTTACAACAAACGGCTTGATCACACGGCCCCGAATACGATGCAAGAATCTGTTATTTTTGAAGTATATTACTAACCAAACCAACATTTGAAGGTGTATTACACACACCCGAAAGTCGCAAATGTTCATGTGCAATGGATGCCGACTGATGTGTGTGAAAGAAGGAAAAGGCACTGCATGCAAGTATATCATATCAGTCAGTTGAATTATTGACGTGGACTGTGTGAAGAAATGAAGATGTTTTCACCAAATAGCTGAGACTTTTAAACACTGAAGGTTTTGTTTGTTTTCTTTTGAAGTCCCCTTCAGGTGTCTTCCTACTCTGTTGGATGTGTTAATTCGGTAATTTCTTGTGGTTAATATTCAAAATATCAACGTTGGCAAGTTTTTCCAACATCCTGAGATTACGGATGATGTCAGATTACACTGAAGTATTATTAACTTTATAGTTTGTATGGTAAAATGCTTATTACTTAAGTGTTACTTACTCAGAATAAACTGTTTCATTTAAGAATGTCATTAAACAATTTTAATGTCTGTAAACCCTCAACTGACGTTTAACTAAATAAAACTTAAAGCTATCCTGGATAATTCAATTATAAATCTATACCAATAGAGAGAGAGAGAGAAACACCCAAAAATAATATACATCAAAAGAGTTTAGTAATATATGAAATTAGTAGGAGGTGAGATCAGTTTACTGTCTATAGTTTACAACTAAATTTATCATAAACACATTTATTAACACGTTGCAATACATATTATTTAGTATGAGTAGTAAGAGGAAGGTAAAAGATACATACTTGAAAACAAACAAACAAAACCAAATAGAGAAGCAAAAAGAAAAAATCACTGACAATACATTATTTGTAGTTAGTCATTCTCAAATTATCTTTATTTAGTACGTATCAATGCCAAGGTTGGACTTGAGAGTTTCAAATAAAATATTATTATCATTATCTTTATTAACTATTACAAAACCATTTATTGACAATAAACTACAAATGGTTTGTTCCGTTTCATTAATTAAATTTACTGGTATAACAAAGTTGTAGTTTAACAATTACTACTTTAGTTAGAAAACTGAAAAAACAGCGTGTACATGAAGTTAAGTAATTAACTGTAAAAAGATGACAGTATCCACAATGTGTAAGTCATTAAATATTCAACAACAAAAATCAAACAATACAACCTTCACTTGTTCATATAACATACGTTTAATTTTATTCTACATGTGTTAAATTGATTCTTTCTCATATTGGTATATTTGTTATTAATTGTGAAGTTACTTTGAGCGATGAATACTTTAATGTACCGATTAATTTCGTTTAATTATCTGATTGTAATCAGTTTTGATAAACTCTTACATAATTAGTCAATTCATGTGAGATCATATGAAAGTTCACCATTTTACAAATGTTGAATAATTTTATGGAAAAAAATATATAGGATTTCTGAATTTATTAAGACAGGTTACTTACTGTTATTCAAAGATAATACAAAGTGAAATAGTATTGATCTAATATATCCCCAACTAATCAAAGTGATCAATGGATTCTTCTAATTGATTATGAACACTTTTTTTTACTAAAATGTCACTCTCAAAATTCCAACAATAAAAATACGTCATTTTGAAACTAACTCTTAAAAAGCAAACAAATATGATATTCTCATTAAGTGCAAAATTAAATGCTACATGGAGAATTTGATGAAATTCCATTTAAGTGTCATGTTATGTTAGAGCTAACCAATTAATCATCTTGTGTAAAAAAAATTAATTGGGATACAAACATAAAACGAAAAATTTTAAACGCTGATAATATTCTGAAGTATACAAAACGTGTTAAGAACAAGTTTACTAAGAAATAGAAGAAAAAGTGATGTTGCATCAATAACAGATGAAGCACAAGTTTCTCCCTGCAACGAAAAAATGTTATTGATAGTACAATGGGTAGAAGGTACTTATATAACCAATACAATATGAACAATACAATCAGACTTCCAAGATAAGTGAAGTTGTCGACGCGTCTGACTACTTCACTCCCTATCCTTAGTTCAGATGTTGACGCAGACCAGTCCTGAAGTAACAACTTGAATTTAGAGGGGGGAAACGTATCCCAAACATCCTGGCATTGTTACTCAGTGCTACCAAAATACTCTGCATTTTTTCAGCGTCTTCACCAAACAGGACTATGTCATCCGCGTATTCTAATTCGATAAGTGGACCTCCTAGTGGGAGATCAATTCCCGAACATACAGACGACGAGAACGTTGTTTCCAGCAGTATGTCTATGGTGAAAGTGAACAAAAATGGAAATAATTGACAGCCTTGACGAACATCACTTGAGGTTGCAAAACCAGATGACAGTGTTCGGTTAGAGATTAACTACAAGGTACACCTTTCAATGCCATAGAAACTCTCGGTCTACAGAGTCAAATGCTACTTTCAAGTCAAGAAAGACCACCATTGTCGGACGCTGATAAGTATGCCTGTGTTGTAGAACCTGACGAATAGTGAATATGTGATCGATGCAACCACGACCAGGTCCGAGATCGGCTTTGATTTCTCGTGTTTACAGTTCGCGAGTCTTTGTTAGGCGTCCGATAATTATTGAGGCTAGTATTTGAGACTCGGTCACTTCATCCAAAGCCTACCAAATAGCCATGCAATTTCTATCTTGATAGGATATGCTGTTTCCACATATTAAACAATGAAGTTCCATGCGGGTGATGGATAGGTATGAATAACACAAGTGTCTACAATGTCACAGAGTTATTAACCCATCGATCACCTGTATCTGGCATTATTTACCTAACAGATGAAAACAACTCATGAAGTAGTTTAATTAATGCTCAAATAAATGCAAATTAAACATTTTCTTCACTTACACAGATTATATATGTCAAGTGAAAATGTTAACTTTCGACGTCTTCTTGAACAATCTAACGAACTACACAAGCTCAAATTTTGTATGGGAGGAAAGTTTGTCACATCAATAAAAAAACTTGTAAGTCCAGTTGAACTATTTGTACTATGTAGCAAACCTCTTCGAAGTGATTTGTCCTAACCTTCGGCAGATAAATTGTTCTAATCTCTCTATATGTCATATCACCCAAATCTTTGTGCTCGTCAATTACTCACGTAGGCGTGGTATAACAGAAATTTGCTACAAGTACTCTGGAAATCATTTGTACTAACTGTCGGAACGGCACCCAGAGAGTGCAACGCAGCCTTAAGAGGCTCTAAAGTAACCCAAGAGATTTCATCCGGTCACAGCCCGATAAAAGGCCCTCCCTCCCTTTAGAAATGCTCTCACACGGCCACGCGTATACAACGTCTGCCAGGAATATCCTACTCACTGATGTCGTTTACGAAATTGAGAGGACGAAA